ATCACTTTAATGGACAATTTCCATGTAAAATAAAGCCAAATGAATAAAAAATTTAAAAATTTTCCGGGTGGAAAATTATACCAATCAAACATATTAGAAATCATTTTCCCTACAAAACATTTTCTAGGCAAATCTTTTCCCTGTAAAATATTTTCTTTCCACCAATTTTCCACCATTGCAATCAAACGCACCCTAATTGAATTCCAATATAAACAATCATAAATTTATTAACCTTCTGAAAATATACAACTAATTGAATTCCAATGGGATTCTATTTTTTTTTCTTTTCTTTTTTTAATTTTCTCTCAACATTTTTAATTATTAAGATTCAATATATCAGAAAATCTTCATATTTTAGATTGTCATTAGGATTGAATGGCTCCATCGAATGATAAAAGATCAAAGCGAGCATGAAAAATTAACAATTCCATTTGTCACATCATCGAAATTGTTAATTATCAAAACAAAAGAGACGGAGTAATGGACAAAACATCATCGTAAGGAGAGTAACTATTCGAAAAAAACGTTGAAAGTACTATTGAGATGTTTCATATTAACAAAGCAGTAAAAAATTAGTTCACCATGTACATTCATCCATGATATCTACTGTTCAAAGCCGGGAAACTGGATTAAATTTGGGAGGAAAAGAAGAAAACATTTTCTTACTAACAAAACACAAAAATGTTTACATTTTCAAGTTACAAACTATGTAAAATATTCATTTCAAAGAACATCACCAGAAGAGATGCATTCTTTGCCAAGAAAGTTAACCCAAATTCAAATGCTTCCTCCATCAGTAGGTTCATCAGCGGTCATCCCTGTCAAAAGTGGGGTAGGGGCATGCACTTCTTCTTCAACCAAGTTGTTGTTCACCTTGCTGTTGAAACAATCAAAAAGCGGGGAGGGAAAAAAAAAAAAAAGCAAAAGCTATTCAGGTACATGTCATCAGAAACTGATGGTAACAAAAACAAACTTCATTGCCTAAAACAGAAGACAAATATCACTGAACCTAAAGAGTAAGGGCCAAAGGAATCCACAAAATTTCCAGTGAAGTATCTTCTTTATTTTTACATTTATAACTAAAGAAAATATTGCAATAAACAGATACATGTCACAATGAAATGTTACAAATGGGATGCATGTACAAGAATAAACCAAAAGAAACAAAATGCACATATATAACAATTTTTTAAACGCCAAGAGATGGAGACAAACACAAAGTAATCCCGAAAACAAAATTGTAAGCCCAATTATGTAACAACATGCCTCAGAAATGCTACATAAAAGTGTTAAGAGAGAACACTTACTCGCATGTTCTCGCATTGTGCCCCAGGCCCTTGCACCTCCGACACTGAAGCTGGCGTTTAATGCTGTCCATAAATTCAACTGATTTAATCTTTGGTTTAACTCGTCTTTTGGTAGGTGGAGGAGTTACAATAACTTCAATTTTCTCTGGTTTCTCCACGTTTGGTATTGGGTTGATTGACTCCGTGTAAGTTATGCGGTAAGTGTCAGTCATGAAGTATCTGGAGCAATAGTCGTATGGGGTCCTACCAACACATTCAAAAACAGCAATAGCATGGGAGCAAGGCAATCCAGTAAGCTGCCATCCTTTACAACTACAGTCCCATTTATCTACATCAACCAAGTCGACAAGTGATTCACCACGAACCTCAAATGTGCTATTTCCAATTGATTGCAATACTTGGAACGACTGTGCTTTAGCCATCTCATTCTGAAGCCTGTCCTCCATACAAGGTGTCAACCTTGTAACCCAATTACTGGATTCAAGTCGTCTTCTATACATCAATTCCATAATCTTACCACGCAATACATCAACCATCTGAGTTATTGGAAACCCATCCATCTCAGATACCCAACTATAGAACTGTTGACCAAAGTTGGATGTCATGTGGTTGTATCTTGCACCACCAAAAAATGCATTAGACCAGTGTTCTGGTTCGCTACCAATGACCCAGTCATAAGCTTCAGCTGATATAGCTTTTATATTTTCAAGACTACTCTCAAAAGCCTCAAGTTTTGCAGAGTAAGCAGCAGCATATAAATCTTGAACCATGAGACGTCTTGCATCGTGTGAAAGTCCTTTCAGATCTTTATTAAGTTTTTCAGCAAGACAACGTAGGCAGTAACCATGATAGCACTCTTTGCCAAATATTTCAAGCAATGACTCTCTTATACCTTTCTGGAAATCAGAAACAAATGTAATACGTTCTGATGTTGAAAAAGTAGATTTCAGATGTGACAGAAACCAATGCCAATTATCCTGAGTCTCTTCGTCTACCACAGCAAAGGCCACGGGAAAAAAATCATCATTCCCATCTGCAGCCGTTGCTGCTAATAATATTCCTTGATATTTTGAGTAAAGAAGAGTGCTATCAAGAAAAAGAAGAGGGCGGCATTGATGAAACCCAGCTATTGAGGCATGAAATGAAACAAAAAGACGATGAAAGCTTGAATCCTCCTTAGTGGTTAGTGTAGCAAGGCTACCTGGGTTAGTCTCCATTATCTTCTCGCAGAAAAATGGTAAGTGAGAGTATGCCTCTTCATAAGAGCCCTGAAGCTGCTCTCGTGCAATCTCCTTTGCTCGCCTTGCCTGACTATAGTTCAACTGAATGCCATAATCACGCTCAATTTCTTTGGCAATATCCTTTGGCTTGTAATTTGGAGAAACTTTCAATTTTTCCTTTATAATACTCCCTATCCATCCCCTAGTTGCCTGCCTAGCTTTTGTGGTAGCTCCTCCGCATGTATGCTCTGCATTCATAATCTTAATACATATTAGTTGTGTGGCAGCCACCCTTGATGCATATATACGCCATGGACAGCCTTCCACTTTGCACTTGGCAGTTACACGATGGTTGTCATTTTTCTTATATTTGTAATCAAATCCATTAGCAATCGAGTATTTATGCAGAGCTTCACGAAATTCGGTGAAGCTATTGAATCTTTGGTCCACACCAGTGATGATGTTCTTCCACTGGGTTGCTGCTCTCCGATGCTCCTCTTCATTGCTAAATGGAGTCACTTCGAGTGATGTAGTTTCAATAGGCTCATCCAGAACAATTGCATCATCATCTTGCATAATATCCATGGGGTCATCAGAGGGAATCACTGCATCTAACACAGTTTTGCTTGACCTTCATAAAAAGCAGAAAATAAGTTTCTAAAGAATACAAAGGAAGTTTTTGTGACCCCTTTGGTATCACTAGTGCAGACTCAGTATGGCTCAAGAACTCAAGGCACCAAACAAAAGCAAATGCTGGAACGCATACTGTACAAAATTTGTTTCATTTTCCTTCTCATGAAAACAGCATTCATAACATTGTAGATCACACAACTAGAGCTTCGACTTCAGTACGTTTCAGACCTCTTCCTAGTGATTTAAGCTTTCCTAGATAGAATAGGCTAAGAAGCACAGATACATGTAAACTTATTGCATACCGGTATTCGATACATATTCAAACTTGAATACACTTGGACACTTTTCGATATGTGTTTTTTAATTATTTTAATTTTTATATATTTTTAAAATTTTTGATACGTTTCGTACACCTTAGGACACGTATATTATTATTGACAGTGGATAATAAATTTTTACTTGATAGATAACTATTGTTATTATCAATATCTTATTGAAAATAAATAATATTTATTAACTAGCAATTTCAAATAAAGTAAATGTGTTTTAAGATAATAGATAACTATGCAATTTATACTTATTATTGAAAATAGATATACTATTAAATAATTGACTAGAGTTCTAAATTAATTGAAAACTAGAATTCTACTACTGAAAATAAACAATGGTATTAAATCTTTTAATACTTGTAGATCGTGTTCAAAATGAGAATCCAAAATATGGGACATTGCAAGAGCCTAATTTGATACTCTTGTAGGTGTTGGCTGCTTGAGGTTGTTAATATATCAATAGATAAACTCAAGTTGGAGAGTTGTTTTTAATGATGATGAAAAAAGTTGGTTATGGTGATATTGAAGAAAATGAAATTGGGACAATTAAGGATCAAGATAAAATACTTTATTATTTATTTTATTTTACTTTTTTTGTCAGACTTCTGTTTTAAATTATTTTATAATAATGAAATTATGCTGAATTTTATATTTAACTTATGAAAAATACTACAAACATAATATGTATGTATATATATATATATATATATGGGTGTGTGTGTGTGTGTGTAACACATATCCGCATATCCTAAAGTATGCTTAAAACTATATCAGTGTAGCTGTATCGTATCGTATTCGAATTATGTGTTCGAATCCGTGCTTCTTAGAGAATAGGCTTCCGAATATCAGTCTAGGAATTTTTGGAAGTTGTGTCTATAACAAATATCGATAGTGTTTACTTCAAACTCTGAAATTTACCTTATCCTGGCAATCTCTTTATTATCTTACTGGTTAGAGCTTGTTTTCTCGTCAAGCTGGGTTGTACTTTTTATTACTAGTATAATTGACACTCCATCCTGGAAGGAGTGTCCGTGCTGCTCCACATAAAAGATTAACAATCAACAAGAGACCTGTGTCACTGCTTACTAGTTGCACACAAAATTAAAATTAAAGAGCTTGGGTCATGCTAAGGAAAAGTTATAAGGAATGGTACAAGTACCTACTAGCAGGCATGTTGGGCACATTCTGAGGACCAGCTACAAATACCTCGACTTGGTCAGAATCCTTGAAGAAGTTCAGCATGCGCTGAAGGTCCTTATGCTTCGATATGGTAATCAGAGTCTTTCTATTTCCAGGAAGAAAATACTTGATTGTCATGCCATCGACATTGCATTGAAAATTCTCGGACAGTTCTTGCTTGAAATCTTTCAACTGCGTCTGCTCGTCAATGCCCAGAGCATAAGCTTCCCCACCGGTGTAAGACAAAGACCCATCATCTTTGTTGGTCACAAATTCACCTCCGGATTGGCATATGGCTATGATTTTCTTAGCCTCCATGAGCAAAGTACGGATGGATTTGATATAAATTTACACGGATAGATTGGCTTAAATATAAGTGCAACCCAGGACAAACCAAGCAACAATTTTCTATGGGAAGGTGACTAGCATCATAAAATCAAGCCTACATTCACAGATTAAAAGGAAAAAAAATGAATAATCGTAAAACAATCCCCAAATCTAGAGTGGACCATAAGAAGCGAACACATAAATACGTAATTGAAAAAAAAAATGAGAAATTCGAGCATAAGGTTACAAATTGACTGGCTAAACTTAAAATTGCCCCCACAAAATGTAGAATGCAAGATTCATGCAAAAATTATTTCAGTAATTAAAATGAGTATTTTTTTTATTTTATTTTTTCAAAATCGTTACATTTGGGGAATTTACAAAAATAAAGTCTTGAGGAATTGGAAAGGCGTCTTGTATCATAAAATCAAAACTACATTCACAGATAAAAGGGAAAATAAATAAATCTTAGAAACACAACAATCTTCTAAAGTTACCAGAAACCCTAAGCGTAAAAAAAAGCCAAATCTACAGTTGACCACAAGAAGTGAACAAATAAATAATTAATTAAAAACCCATAAGAAAGATTAAAAAATTAACTCGCAAAACTTAAACTTAATTTCAGAGTGACTAATTATTTTCCAAATCAAAAAATTAAAAGAATTACCTCTAACAAGACGAATTAGCAGTAGCGTTTCGTGAGGTGAAATTAGCTAAATCTTCAATTTAGAGGGGGGTTATGTGCAATATGTATGCCGCAGCACAGGGATCAACGAAAGGTGAGGTTGAGAAAATCAGACCCTATATAAAAATCTTACACACCTTGGGACTTGTAAATTTGGGCCTGCATTGCAAGGCAGTTCTGGATCGTGTTGGGCCCTAGCAATCCTCTAATTTAAAAATTAAAATATTGTTAAGAACAATTCAAGTGGGCGGATTTGTAATCTACGGGAAAATGATGCCTTTTTGTGATTAAAATTCAAATTTTTAGTAGCTTTTGATTAAAAAAAATGATGAAATATGTAATCGATAAAATTGTGAGTCCAATAAAATATTCATGCAATTGCAAATAAGTTTGAGAAAAAACAAAATTTTAAAATAACATATACAGTACATCTCCTAAATTTTGCACGAACAATTTCAACGGTATACTTACCTCCCAAAAGGGATAATTAGGGCAATTATATCTACGCCACTTTTTTGTTTGTTGCACCATAGTTTAATCGTAAACATTTTTCTTTTGCTTTTGGGCAAAAACATCCGTAAGTGATAAAATGTGCTAACCAACGGAAGGTCGAAGATGAAAAAAAAAGTTGAGAATATAAGTACGATAATGAGCAAAGATTGAAGTCTACAATTTTACATAAAATGCAAGGTAGTTCTCACTAAAATTTTATAGTCCTCCCTTTAATATTGTCTAGTGTTTTATTTCTATTCGGCCCATGTTTGACTCCCTTTAAAGCTCTTTATTTTTCATACTAATTTCAAATCATACATTCACAAAATAACATATTCTGCACGTAAAATTAAAAAAAAAAAATCATACTTTTTAATTATACATTCTCCAAACATCACTATTCAAATCATCATTTTCTTCCAATTTCTCTTTACCATCAAACATGTCAATATAATTTACTGTACCTATTCCATAATCCAAAATCATCTTATCAAAGTTCCATGTGTTGTATTTGCAAATTGAATCTTATTTTCTTGAGTTTTGTTGTATTCCAAATCCCATGGCATGGCCAAATTAAAATTAGGCGTACGTGGATGTCCCCCATGATGTGTTCACGTTTCACGTTTGCCTCAATCAAAATTGACTTTGACCTTCCATTTTACATGACATCTAATGGATGATGACAAGTGTTACGTGATGAAATAATTATTGTTTATAATAACTTCACGTCAACCGTAAAAGAACCCCCTACACGTCAGTGTGTCTATGAACATTCACATCAAGGTCGTTGAGGCACAATCAAAGCATAAGATGCATCTGCCGACGAAGCCCTATCTAGCAACAAAACATGCATGATCTTAACACTAGGATTAAAGGACGATGAAAATATAGTTCTCAACTCGACCTTTGACGTAGACATCATTTTAAGTACACATTCTGACGCAATCAAATCAACATGGTCTTCTATGCAAATTCATACGCAGTACATAATAAATTGCATGACAAGTGTTACGAAATCATAAAACTTAACCAAAATATTGGAACTTAAATTTAATCATGATTTTTAGCATAATGACGAGAATATCAACTCATGAAAATGACCAAACTATATATAAAGAATCGTCTATAAATATGGATATTATCACAGCAATAAAATTGTTGAAAATCAAAAGGGTTAAAAGCTAAAAACGGAAAAAGAATGTTAGAGATTGGATCCTTGACCCTAAAAAATCACCTCGAATGAAGGCAAAAATTATAATCAAGTACTCACGAAAATCTTAGCATTCTCTAATTGTAGCTTCTTTTCGGCTACAATTTCGCAGAAAACTTCTTCTGTCTTCCTTCTAAGAGAGAGTTCATCCAAAATACATGGAATCCAAAAGGGGTAAAATTCTGCCAAAATTTCAAAAAAAAAAAAATACTATACTGCAGATATTAAAAGAGATATTTTTTTAAGTCAACAATAAGCACACCCTTCAATCGAAGTCAAAATAAATACCAAGAGCAATAGAAACCAAAGAAATTAAAGGACGTGGAATAATAAAAATAAATACCACTATGCGAATAACTAATACTTCAACTAAAGTAGGGTGTTCTACCAATTTGAAACCTTGAAAAGACAAATTTTACCCAGAAATAACGTAATTAAAGATCTAACTAGCGTTATATCAATCATGTGATGCGACTCTTAAGGTGACCTCAAGTAAATAAAAAATAGGGCTAATTGCAGTTTTTCCATTTCCAAAAGTAGAGTTGCATGAAAACAAATTGCAATTGCACGTTTTTTCTAATTAATTTTGCATAAATTCTCAACCATCAATCTACAGTATGTTAAGATTGCTCAAGTATATTCTAACGTCAAAAGTTTGTTAACTTTCTCCACAAAATGGGATGATTTATCCATTATTCTGATTAAAAAAAACCCCAAAATAGGTTTATGTTCAAAGAAGCATAAAAATTACTTACAAGTAAACAATAAATTTTACTCCACTATCAAAATGAGTATTTCTTTTCATTGTATGTGACAAGAAGTTAATTGTCCAAATGGTCACTAAACTTATGTCTATATTTTCGAAAACTCACTAAGGTTTAAGATATCGAGTTTTGACAACTCAATTTATCCAAACGCTGAATGTTACTCACAAACATAACATTAGTTTCTAACTTATAACAGAATTAGCAATGTGACTAACGAAATGTAGACTAGGCATCTCGTCACACCGTTAATAAATTATCACGTTTTCAATTGCTCACTAAATTCTGAAAAACGTTTGCTCACTAGACTTTGAATAAGTTATGCTAATAAGTAACGTCCCATTACTATTTTCACCGGAAATGCCTTAAAATACACATTAGACTCCCAAAATCCCCAATTCCACCTTCTTCACCAAAGCCTCTCAAAAGCAAGAAAATACCAGTCTTCCCTCTAAACCCGAAACCCAGAAAAACCCACGTGAGGAAACTAGTGAAGGAATATCAGAATTGGGTATGGAAATCAAGAAGGAGATGGAGCAAAAGGAACCCGATCTCTTGAGTGGGGTGGCAGAACAAATTAGGGAAATTGAGTCACCTGGTTTTAGTAAAGTGTTGGGAACTACTGGAATTGTTTTGGGGGTGATGGCGGGGTCGAGTCTTGTTTTGTTAACTGTTAATGCCGTTTTGGCTGAGCTCTCGGATCGGGTTTTTGCTGGAAAGGGTGTACAGGATTTCTTTGGGCGATGAAGATAAGGGAGTGTGATCTGGTGGATGAGGGCATACCCTCTTGACCTGCACTTGCCACTTGCTAAAGAGGCATTTGACTGCTTGAATTTTTGTTTTACTTTCTTATTTTTGGCTTGTGAACTTTTCTTTTTGTCATTTCTTCTATGGTTTTTGAGGAATTTTTGGAAATGGCATCTTGGAAAGAAAAATAGCTTTAACGTTTTTAGTTTGTAGGTAAAATGGCCTAGTCACTCAACTGACCCAAACCAGACAAAATCGACCCTTTTCCTCTGCTAAATCAACACTGCAAACCCTGTAAAGAAAAGGCAACACTATGAATAGGGGCATCCAAAACAAGGTCGTGCATTTGGCAAACAGGGTGTGGGTGCAGTCGAAGATGAAGTTAGAAAAGAACATAGCTAACAAGAATTTTTGGATATTTTGAAAAATATAACATTAGTCCGATGATCAAACTTTAAAATGTCAACCTCCCAGTATAAGCAAACTAGTGTCCCATATTGGCTACCATTGTTCATGAAAAACCAAGTCACTCTCAAGATACAGCACAAAACTGATCAGTTTTAACATCTAACCAAAGTAATCATATCGAAAGGCAACAAAGCATTCATAAATGTTAACATTATGAATAAACAAGCTGGCCAAGAAAGGGCTTAATAGGAAAAATATCTACTCACTACCACTCGCAGGACCAACAAGGACTCCCTGTGCGTTCCCTTCCTTCTTACCACTCTCATCTTTCATTTCACCATCAGTTTTTTTAATTCTAATTTTATATTTGGACTCAAATTCGGTGACCTCCTTTTTCTTTTTCTCCAAAGCATCGTTAAGTCGAGTTATTACCTCTTCAATACCCTCCTTGTTGCGCCGGACAGCCGGCAAGACTTCTTTAATGGTTCTCTCCACGAGGACACCTCCAATCATCCGGTAGCACCGCCTTGACGGATCTAGAGGTTTAATGGCATTGATCACGAGTGAATGCTCACTAACCTCCATCTCGAGTTCAGTAATTTTGGAGTAAATTTGGTTGATCTCAGCCCTCATGGCACCATAGATGTTGGCGACTGCTTGCTCGTTCATTGGTTCCTTACCATCACGTTCAGCTTTCACCATGATACTAATATGAACAGGAAAACAAACAATGGTTAATCTATGATTCATGTCTTCTGTAATTAACATATCTCAAAACACTTGGCTGTCCTTGATGCAAACCACATGATGTTGACATAAACAAGATAGAAGCAATCTGTTAACATTCATCCTTTCCTGAAAATGTAAGCTAAAAATACTTGAAGCAAACCGCATAATATTGGCATAAATGAAATATGTCAGCTATAAGCCAACATTCTGATGAGAAGTGAAGCTAAAGCTACGTTACAATAGCAACAAACTTCAAAGACTAAGCCTTGTTCCAATTAAGATTATGGGTCAGCAACTGAATCATTTTTCTCCACTCAGTTCAATTCACCGTTAGACCAACTAGAAGTTCTAATACAATTAAATCCTAATTTATTTCAAAGATACAAGGTTATGCTAACTTACAACAGTAAGAGTGACAGAAAAAGTAGCACTTTTATACACAATCCTGAAGTATTTCAATTGGCAGCGTAAACATTCTGCACTGCAACTGAAACCCCATTGCTTGAAATTGCCCCACATTTAACAACCATAAACAGAGGAGAAGGCAGGTCCTGGGTATTTCACCTATTACACTTTATGGGCAGCCAGTTTTCAAAAATTCAATAGAAATATTTTAGAAAAAAATCACTGTTGCTAGAGAAAGATTACCATCAAGAAACAACAATTCTGGAAGTTGAGTTGAAATTAATCATTCACAACAAACAAATCTAGTTATAAAGATTTCAACATATAAAGCCCGTTTTAACACTAATACAATCCGATACTACCTTCCAATTTGGTGATGAAGAAGCTGAGTAGAAATCACTGCAACGTAAGATAAATTGGTGCCAAGGGGTGATGAATATGTTCCCAGTTTTTAGTGTAATACAGAGAGAGAAAACCTAGGCCGCCTTCGCTAAACCAAACAGAAACGGGTTATCCTACGATAGGCCTGCCTTTCAATTGGGCTTTACAAATATTTTTGTGAAAATAACCTAAAATCCTACATCTCAAGTATAATATTCAAAAGTGAGGTGGTATAATTTTAAATTCACAAACCAGCTGATAATCATAAATTACAGTTTTTGTATGTGATGGTGCAGGACAGCCACAGTCGTTGTGCCATCTCGGCGCACCGCCAACAATCGATGCTGCATCGTTCACGTTCATTGTGTGCGATGATTCTCACAACGATGGTGCTTCAAGCAACGTTGCCGCGTGGCACTTCGAACGACAACGTTGCTTCGTGAGTGTCGCATCAACAGTCGATGTGTGGTGCTTCACGCCATGATTTGGGTAAAATTTTGGAGTATTTGATGTAGGAGTTTTTTGGATGGTTTTTTTTGTTGTTGGTGGTGTTTGCAGTTGGCTGTGGGACTGGCGATGATGGTGCTGGTCCAGGTGGCTGTGGTGCTTGTTGTGGTGGTTAGGTACTGGTGATTTCCACATATTCAAGGGTTGAAGAAATAAAAAATAGGAGAATATCTGCTTGTTAAAGTATGAGCTTACGATAGTATGATTCATTTGAACTAAGAGAGTGAAATGAATAGATATAAATGAGCTCGACCTTAGAACACACCCCAGAATAATTGAGTGAAAATAATAAGTTTTGGGGTGTGTGCATCTCTCGAGCGAAGTAAGGAAATATTTGACTACTATGAGTAAAGTGTTGAGCCAATCATGAGCTTGATATGTCTACATGAGTTTACACACACACGTCGAGTTATGCATATAAACATGTAGAGATTGATTTGATTTGTGCATTGTTTAAATTGTTCAGTTTGTTTATTATTAAACTCCAATTTTGAGACACGACAGGTCGTTAAACCATGTTTTATGTGGAAT